ATTAACTCCCTCTGTCTTTTGCATAATGACTCCCCCTGTCTCCAACGGCAAAGGCAAAACAATAGAATCATTTGGTTTTCAAGACTTATCTTCATCAACCCCAATCATTTTGTTAAGAACCTTGAGTTCACCACCCCAAAAGCTAGCTTAAGGAGTGGGAGTGCCCAAGGCCTTATAAAGGCCATATTAATTGCCCATCCAATCAATGTGGGACTATATATCTCAACACGCCCCCTCACGCAAGAGCCCTTTAGACTAGAAGCGTGGAAATTGCACAGGCCCATTTTTGGTTTACCTTTTTGTGCTTTTTTTTTATTTTAATTCCACTTTTTTAAAGCGGGAGACGGTGAGGCTCTGATACCAAGTTAAGAACCTTGAGGTCACCACCCCAAAAGCTAGCTTAAGGAGTGAGAGTGCCCAAGGCCTTATAAAGGCCATATTAATTGCCCATCCAATCAATGTGGGACTATATATCTCAACAATATTGAAGACTTACTCTCTTCTGAACCTTTTTTTTTCTTTTTCTGTAGGACATTGGAACAAGAATTATGGAATTTTCTCAGCAGGGTCCTAGATCTGTATGCATTTTGTCTGGCACTGGTGCTGTATCAACTGTCACACTTCGTCAACCTGCAACTCCAGGTGGCACTATCACGTATGAGGTTGGACACTTTCTTATACACTTTCTTATTGTTATGTACGTTTTGATTTGGATACAGTTATGGGTTCATATGGAATTGCGATTACGTAAAGACATATACCCACATTTACACATACATAACACCGTGCACATAACGAAATGGAAACCCTTTATGGAGGTACTATGGTTGATTGATTAAAAAATTCATTTGTTATGTTGGAACTTGGAAGACTTCCTTAATCATTCTATTCATGCACGGAAGTTAAGACTAGCATTAATTAGTACTGCAAATCAAGATTGTTTTGAATCTGAGCCTTTGAACATGTGTTGGAGCTCTTCCATAATGCCAGATAAACTGAAACCAAGTTGTAAAGTTCAAACATGAAATTTATTGGACAAATAATTCTTAAATACACTCCGAAGTATGTACATAGAAACATATATGCATTAATAATGCATATATGCATGCCTATGTGGCACAAATAAATTTTAATCTTGCATTCTACTTATACAAAATAAAAGGGGGCGAATAGGAGCAGTGGTAAAACTGTTTCTTCATGACTGAAAAGTCATGGGTTCGAATCCAGGAAACAGTCTCTTTGCAATTATGTAAGGAAAATGCTGCATACAAGGATTTCCTCTACCCCACACTCGCTAGTCGGGTTTAACGGGGAGTGGTTTGGTATTCTACTTATACAAAATAATATTTTGGCATTGAGTCATTTTGAGTCACCATGCTTTTTTGGCTACAAGTTTTTGACTTTCCTAGCTTTATTGACATATTTGGAATGGGAAATATATATAATTGTTAGCCAATTGATGGCTTATAATTATTAGCCTTCCTAGTGGAAATCAGAGATTCCACATTTGTATTATTGAATACCTTCTTATATTTGTTTTATTTGATATTTATCTCTCTTTGCAAGTTACAACATTCTATCATGTTAAGGTTATATATATATAAAATTGTTGGTGGATTTTTTGCTTTATAGGGCCGTTTTGAGTTATTGTCTCTTTCGGGTTCTTCTTTGCTAACTGAGAGTGATGGCTCACGCCAACGAACTGGAGGAATAAATATTTCCGTTGCTAGTCCTGATGGTCGAGTCATTGGGGGAGTTGTTGCCGGGGTGCTTATTGCAGCATGTCCTGTCCAGGTAACAACATTTTTAGTGCTGCCATAACATTATATTATAGGCTTCTATTAATCTCCTCTTGCTGCAAAGAAATTATCTGCAGTTGCCACATAATTTTTTTTTTTCAGGATATGGAACCGTATCCTGAAAAGCATGTAACTGCTGCGTGGAACAATGTCTTTGCAGTGGCTGAAGAGACATATTTCCTTATATTATCTCTTGAAATCATATCTCTCATTCCCACATGTTAAAATCAAAAGTTTCCAGCTATTTACTACATATAAAAGTCTTGAGATTTTAGATATGTTCCCATTCCCCTAGTTTTCTTTTGGATGGCTAGACTGAATTTGTCATGCTATAGGTGGTACTTGGGAGCTTTCTATGGAGTGGATCAAAGGCAAAGAAGAGGAAAAGGGAAGTCTCAGAAGGTGCAGAAGTTGATGTGTAGTCAGATCATGAGGGAGTTCATATTCCAGTTGCAGTGAATAGCAATCAAAGTCTCACTCCAAATATGCGTAATTCTCATGTTGACATTGATTTAATGCGTGGGTGATAGAATGGGAAGTACCAACAACAAAGTTGAACCAGCTGGCTTTTGCAATTAATAAATTTTACTTATCCAACCATGATTGACTTGGGGTTATACTCATATATTTGTGGCTTTGAGGATTTTTAATTTGAAGATTTCATGTTCCTGATTGGTAATGATACAATTTATATCCTATTTGAAATAAAAATAAAAAATGACATTGAACTAGATTTTTTTGTGGTTTATGAGCATCAGTTATGACATAATCTCGTGATTTTTGTCATAAAACTGTCTTCTGGAAGGCAATGACAAAGGGCACATGAAGATATAAGATTTACTGCTGAGAATGCATAATGTGAAAGCATTGTGTATATACGAAGGTATTGTATTTTGTATTAATGGTTAATGTTTTGGGCTAGTCATACGAAATACGCGCTGTCGATTTGCAACATGTACAGCCTTTTGAATTCTAATTCTTATTTGACGTTGATGTCAGAGAATAATATAAACCACTAAAAATGTAATTATTCAATACCTTAAAATTTTGAGTTAAATTGGTTCTTTACATGGTATCGGAGGCTTGTGTCTTAGGTTCGATCTTTATCGCTCCTCACTTTCTCTTGTGAAATTTTCTTAGCATAGGCAGGTGAGCCTGTGCATTGTCCACCCCTCAAGTTCAATGAGTTCTTATGTGAGAGGACATATTAGAGAATAATATAAATTATTAAAAAGGTCATAACTTAATACTTTAAAATTTTGAATTAAATTAATTCTTTATATTACTGTGCACATACCACATCGCTTTCAGCCTCCTCCAGTGCACAGTGATCTACCTCCATCCGTGGCTGTCTTTCCCATAAACACTGCAAGTCCACAAATCCAGAAGTAACCTTTGATCCTCCGGAATAAAACAATTATGTTTTTGTCTTTTCCATTTATACTAAAGGACCACCTAAAAAATGGTGGTCCCGGTCCAGCATAAATTCTCTCAGTCATCAGATAGCATGTTTTGATTGTTACTGTAAAAGAGTATAGTTAGTAATAGCAAAAAAGTGTTCAAGTTTGTTAAGCTGAGTTAGTTATGTCTAATGTACAGATGTCTGAATTAGTTCATCTTAATACTGCGTCTTATTTTTTCTCTCTCCTGTATGTGGTCGCGATACCATTTGTAAAGAACGAAGATTCAATGTCCACATTACTTGTTAGCTTTATCTCCAAAGGTTACTTCTATAAACGTTCTCCAACCTAGTATCAATCAAAGTTCTATATTTTTTTATAGCTATGACTATGAGGAATTTTAATTATCCTCGTGCTTTGCCAATTTGAAATAAAACTCTAACATTAGCCTTTTATTAGTTACACATTTTTTTTATATATATCAACCGGTTCATTAATCATTTGATTAATCTAATTCGATCATTGTTGGATCAATTATATGATATTGTTCTCCCAAGATTATTTTCTTTATTTCCAAAATTTAAATTCGAGATCCTTAATAAAGGAAATAAGCTCCTTACTGAAATATTATTTTTCCATTGATTGAGTGAATCAGAATTTCATTTTCCTTTCAAATTAGGTTGATGATTTTAAAAATGTCATTTCAGGATTCTCAAAAATTTGTGGTATGACTAATACTGTAATTAAATAGAACAGATTTAGACTTTTAAAAAAAAATCTATTTATAAAATAGGTAATAGGTTTTTTTTGTACATATCAGACTTATAAATCTATAGACCGGCCTATATCGTATTATTTATATCAAATAAAATAAATAAAATTCTTATTTTAATAGTTTTGAATAATAAAGTAATATTATTTTAGTTATTTTTTAATTATTGGATGTTTAATAGACTTAATTAGGCTAACAGGCCTATGCCAAAGCTTTTATATTTTAAATACAAGTCAAATCAGACTTATAATCAGGGCCTATGCAGGCTCAGGTCACTCTTAAGAGTTTGTCTGTCCTATTTAATTTAAAGTCTAGCCTAACCTAGCCTATTTCTACCCAGTACCCCTAGTTAAATCCCTGATTAGTGAACTACACTTATACAACTTTTATTTAATTTAATTTTTTTTTTCATCTAAGATATTGTATTTGTAAATATTAATTTGTTGTTATTTACATCATATAATCTTTTGGGAAAAGTGTTTGTCCTTTGAAATGACATAACTTATGTCATTTCACTATCACAAAGAGGTGAGACCCACACCTTTATATTTTTTTGTTCACTTTCTCTCCTCCTTTATCTATCTTCTTTTCTCACTAAAAATGACATAACTTTACGTCCTTTAAAATGATATACACTTTTTCCTAATTTTTTTATGGGATTTGCATTCATCATTTAACCTGACAAGAAAAAAATTTCTACCTACACAATATTTTGTGGGACTCACATTTTTTGAATCAAATAAAAAAAAAAACTATGACACACAAAATAAATTTCTATAACATAACACAATCACTTAGTAACTTTAATAAAACCCTTTTTTATTTATTTTAGAATGTTTCGGTTTTGAAACCGGGCATTGGGCTCCCAAACTTGGCATCTTGGGGACCACCCAGCAAAATTATCAATATGAAAAAATGCTAACATCTTAGGGTTTAGCTCTTTTGTAATATTTTATGAAACCTTAAAAAAAATGAAATCGTATGACTGAAATGTTCGATGATACAGTTGTTGCTTTTGATTTTGCGTCTGGTCCTGCAGGTTTGTGCTCTCTCTCTCTCTCTCACTCACTCTCTCACGTTGATTTGAATCATTCGGGTATTCAAAATCAAATTAGAGATTGAAAGATTGTGCAGGCACAGTCATATGTGTGTGTGTAAGTATATTGTTTGGAATTGTTAAATTTGGGAAATAGAATCATTGTCTTGTATTGTATGTAATGGCAAATTTATTCTGTAGAGACTAGAGTAGTGCATCGCAAGCTTGAATAACTGAATTGTCATTGTTTATAAACTAGACTTTAGTTACTTGAATTACTCACACTTGGCATCCAAATGTGAATTCTTGTTAGCGGGTCAGCAGAAAGCCAACTGAGATCCCGCTCTGCTCTAGCCGAGGTGCCCTTGGGCCATCACATTCTGTTGTGAGCATCTAACTTATTGTATTTATTTTTTCTTAGTGGTTTGGGCTTGGGCCTTAGGGTTTTTCTAACAGAGTGACTGTGAAATGAATATAGTTCAGACAATCTGGATGTATCTTACATTGAATAAATCAGGATAAATTAGTCTGTCGATTTCTCTCTTCCCTTTCTCTTTTCGTTTTTCAAATTGTGTGTGTCGATTTCCAACAACATGAACCTCTTCAACTCACATAATGGAACCCATAGCAATTAAATTTTCTTTCGGATATGCTGTTCTTGATTAAAAAAAAAAAAAAGGAAGCTGAAGCACTTGAAAATTTTTCTAGTTAGATTTTTGTACCTCTGAAAAGAAGAAGTTTTATAGTGTGAAGAGGCTGCCTCAAATATTACATCCGAACATAATAGCATATATTTTTTTGTATAACCTTTTAAAAAATCTAGCTCTAAATTTCTCTGACTCTAGTTATTGGAATTATAAAATTTAAGGCCTGGTTGAATTGGGGAATATATTATATATGTTAGACTAGGACAATGAGGGTCTAATAATTTCTCTAAGCATATTATGTTGTCGGATATTTAGAATATATTGGTACGAGTGTATACTAATTGTTCTCTTCAATTTATCAAGGCACAAAGAGCTTGAGATGAGTGTTAAGGAAACATCAAAGAAAACTGGTGCTTCTCAAATTGTTAAGCTGGACACTGCATTGAAATTGGTAAACATTAGGGTTTATGTATTTTGTGCTTGTAATTGCTATGAAATTGATGTGCATTCATACAGGGTATTAACTTACGGTAAAGAATGTTCTACTAAATGTGTTTGCTAAGTTTGCGGTGAGTACAAATTAACAAAGTAATTTGTATTCTAGAAAGTGATTTCCACATTTCTTTTGATTTATATGTTTTTGGCAAGAAAGTGTTGTTTCATGTAAAGTTAAGAAGATATTCTAGAAGCGCACATTTCAAGAAAAACGGAGGATTCTTGAAAATCTGTTTGAACTTTGAATACTATGCAAAACTTGCTTCCCAGCGTCTTCCAAGTTCCAGCTTATGATGTTCTATTTTATAATAAGAATTGTTTTCTTTTCCATAGTTTTGTTTTACATTAAGATATTATAATAAAATCTAATTCATATTATATGAAAAGAACTGTTTTCGTTACCTTAATGCAGTATTTTATCATCAGATATTCAGGTTATTCACGATTAGTTTTTATTTATTTACTGGTGTTTTTCAAATTGGCAACCATACTCTAACTTGTATAGATAGCTAAAATTATATATATGCTATAAAAGAACAAGGCATTGCTACTACCCACGAATATTCACATAGGCTCATGAGTCATGCATGACTCTTGAGAAATTTTTTGAAAGAAATATGAACCAATCTGTGGTTTATTTGGATTTGTAATTTTATTCTTTATCTATATTCCCACCCTCATCCTCAGAAAAAGGAGCATGAAACAATAAAAGAAATGTTTACATCCAAATCTTGTCACAAACTGGGGTGATTGGAAAACTCTCTTGTCTCCAAATTCCTTTTTGCTCAAAGTTTTTATTTTTCATATTTTAGTGGGATAAGACGGAAGCGAACCGGAGCAGTGGTAAAGTTGTTCTTTCATGACTGAAAGGTCATGGGTTCGAATCCAGAAAACAGTCTCTTTGCAATTATGCAAGGGTAAGACTGCGTAAAAGGATTGCCTCCACCCCACACTCGCTAGTCGGGTTTAACGGGGAGTGGTTTTAGTGGGATAAGCTAGTTGGAATTTTATGAAAATATTGTGAATTTTTTGGTGGTGCTGGTAGTTACTTGTCAACCGTTCTAATTAGCAGGCTGAAGTATGGGTAAATAATATGAGTAAGGGTGCAGATGATGAAACAACAAATGTAGATATAGAGAGTCGATCTTCTAGGTCAGTATAACCACTACCATTTTATGTTACCCTTTGACTTCTGCAAATCTATATGATGCACCTAGTTGTCTTCCATGTTACCTATTGTTCCCGATAAGTTGTACTATTACATGTCTTGGTAGGCTTGGTCTAGGTGCAAAAGTTTCACGCCAATCCAAAGTTGGTCCTTCAAATGACCCTGTTGAAAGGAAATTGCATGCCAAATTAAATGCTGAAAAAAGAAAAGCAGCCAATATTGCTAAAGAGTCTACCACAATTGCAAGAGATGTTTTAGATGACGATGAAGACCATGAAGATGTTGAAAGCAGAACTAGTGCATTTGCCAAGAGGAAGGCAACAGTTCCTTTGACCTCAAGTATACTGGGAAATAAGAAGCAGAAGTGACATCTACTAATATGAGTTGTTTTTACTTTTAAGTCTGTAAGTTATATCATCTATTTTGCATTTGCCTTGTTGGCATGTTGATTTCAACCAAATGTAATACATTGTTTTTAATAATATCATTAGGCATTTCATGGAACGTAGTTATACACTTGAGTAAAATAGATAAATGTAACTAGCTTATAGCCTACCCTATTGGCATCTAACTTACCTTAGGATTTACTTGTATGTGGGATTGATTCTGGTCTTAGTGCCCACATTTTGACTTTCTTTCTTACTTTCGTCTACAGGTCCTAAGGATCTTCATTGTAACAAGAAAAAAGGGAACAATGTTCAGAGGGAAATGTAGTTTAGTATATATTCGTTTTGTTTGACATATTAGCATTTGAGCATATACTCTTTTACTAACTAATACTAATTTTAGCAAAGGATTGGTGTCTCTTGTTGGGGACATACATTTGTAGTGTAGATTGGTAACTCAGGTTATGGGATCATTCCTCCTTGTCTGTCTGCAGTTCATTACATATTGTGAGCGCTATTGTGAATGGAAAAATACTTTCATAGACTTAATCTGTAATTTATGTAAACTAAGTACATATTGACATTATTATTTTATATTAAATAACTGGTTGAACATTAAATGATGACTAGTACAACTTTTACTTTTACAACAATGATGCATCAATTTATAATTAGCTAGTCTATATAACTTGTGTAAATCAAGTCTATGTAAGTATTTTTGGTTGAGTGCGTCATTTTGATTGATGGCTCAATCTGATGACAAGAAGAACATGTTTGTAAAAGTTCCAATTACTCGGGGATCTAAATGAGTGACTTGAAGCATTAGAAGAGAGCTGACTTCATCAATAGTATATATTTGGAACATATATAATTATAACATTCATTTTGTAATTCCTCAAACAATTTGGAATATATATACTCCTAAAATATGCAAAATGATATAGAAGCATTCTTATTTAAATTAAATGTTCTGACCACAGTAATTTATAAAATTATACTGGACAAGTTGACTTGTTAACTCAACTTTATAAATTTAATAAGCGAAACTCAGTTAAATAGCAATAAAATATTAAGGCGAATTTTATTTGTTGATAATTGCAATAGATTTGAAATTATCACGTATTAAATTGCAATAAATTTAATAAGTGACATTCTTATTGTCACGTATTATTCATATTTCTGCTTAGTCCTTCCTACACCAAGCTGAGTTCACACTTCATTATTTCCAAACTTTGTGAATACAATAGGTTAACCAAAAAAACAAATATACAAGAAGTAAGGATGATATCAAACGAAATTATAACACACCAGCTAAGGTGATCAGCAAATCAAACTTTACAAAATCTACAATCAAAACACCTCTAGCCCTCCCTGGGTGAAGTGAGTCACACACTGAATAAAACTGTTGCTTTGTCTGTTTGTCATTGTAAACAAAGCCTAGTTTTGTGCTTTTGCAAGAAGCATTTACAACTGGCTTCCTATTTACTTCTTGTGGCTTGTGGTTCCTTATTTGAGTATCCTCATTCACAGTATACTATCCAATATCAGAATAGTCAGGTATGGTGAAAAGAAATAGTACCAAGGTCCAAGGATGCTTTAAAGAAGTTTGTAACTCTTCAGTATTCTTCCTGATCAATTTCCATTCCCCTGCATGATATATAACTTCATTACTTCCCTTCCACCTCCTCACACAAAGGAACTTGTTTAAAAGGTTGCATGAGCAAAAAGCAGTGAGTTGTCTTTTACAAGTTGATGTTGCTCTCACTGTCCTTCAGTTCACATTGAAGCACAGAACAATTACTTTCTGGGCTGTCACTTGCAAGGCTCAATATTGTATCTTCCATCAGTTCTGCAAGAATGGACTCCCCCATTTCAAAACCAATTGTTTCAGCATCAAGTCGAAGGTCCATCCATGTTCCACTTCTTGCCATGTCTTTCCTAACAATTTGCTCCAAAGCATGTGGTGGGGGCAAGGGAAGGACATGCCAGCACACTCCTTCCCAAACCTTGAGAATAACCTTTTTCATATTTGGAGTTGGCCTTATGCTAGGATTTACAAATGATACCCAAGGTGAGACCCCAAAGTAATGCCAACAAACCTCCATGAGAATTTCGTTGATACAGTCGAATAGGAGCTTCTGATCATGGCAAAGCAGGTTAGAGAAGTACTCTACCTGATCAAACAAGGAAGGATCTAGTATCTTGTCTGAGGAAAGGCATTTCATCAACAATTGATCTCCAGTCAAGCCAGAGGCATGCAAGACAGCTTTAATGTAGTCATATATCAATCCATTTTCTTCGAGACAATGGTTTCCTCTATCAAATTGATCCACAGGCGACAAGTCGTATTCTTCAAATTGAATTTGCAGTGATTGTACTGGTAATTTAACAGAAAATCATGAATGAATGTGTTGCCAGATTATATTGTTTGTGATAAGCAAAAAGGGTTAGTTGGTCCCTCAAAAACGGTTCCAACTTTTGTTTATCTGAACAGAATAGAAGGGACAATAATATGAAACCAAACAAATATCTTAAAACTATTTCTCGATCGATTTCTGGATAATGCTTGTTTTATTTCTACTATTAGTTTAGAGCTTAGAGACAGTAGAACTACTTGAAACATGAAGTTTCTGGATCTAGTTTTTAAAAGTATGGTTTTAACTTTTAGGAACGTAGCCAGATAGGCTCCTCAAGGTTCTAGTGCAGGAATGCTCACCAGGTTTACATCTGGAGTACTCAGGGCTGAAGTCATCGTCTGAGAATGATGTATCGAGAACAGAAACCGGACTTGGTCGCCCAGATACATTGGTATGACTTTCTAGCTCTTCAATTTTCTTAGTGAAGGAAGAGTGAGAAGGGGGTGAAAGTATAGATGATGGTTGGTTCTCTTCTGTTATGTCCTGTAAAATAAACAAATGATAGTTTAGAGTTAAGATAAAATCTTACAGGTATAGGGGCTTTCCAAGAAATCTTGAGGAGTCCTTTTATATGACATTACCGGATTCAAACCTTCAGAACATCTTGCACCATCAGGAATTTCTGAGATATCATGATTTTGGTCCTTTCCAGTGATGAAGCCATTGGGATCCGGGGATGATTCCAAAACACTAATCTCTTTAGTAAATTCTACACTATCTGCACAATAAGAAAGGACAAATGAACTAATATATATGAAGACACACACACATACACACACCAAAGTTTAGCATAGCATCTATAACTTAAATCATGTACTTTGAACATGGTACCTTCAGTAACTATCTCATCTCCAACTGAATTACAGGCTTCTGCTGTATCCACATGACCAAGATCATGTGAGAAATTAGATTCTGACTTGATTTCTTGTACTTTATTATTAGAGCTTTCATCACAAATGCTAGTCTGCTTCGCTGAATTGTTTGTTTCCTGATCTGGATGACCAATAAAAGTTGCTTGTTTGGGAGACAAATTATCCTCATTAACCTCCCAAGTTTTATCTGAAGTAGAAAGTCTTGCCTGAGCAGTCACAAAATTATGCTCCAAATCCCTTCCAGGACTTCCAAGAGGAGAGAAGTTGTACTCAGGAAGAGATAGTATCCTCCCAAGGGATTTTGGAATCTGCCTGCTTGAAATGTCCGGGTTCTCATCTCCATTATCTATCATCTCACACAGATGTTTCTTAGCCTCAATATATATGTTAGAAACCCTTTGTTTGGGAGTACCACTTTCATGTTCCACATTCAATTCAGATTCTTTCAATGTACCAGTCTTGTTTCCTTTCATAACATCAGACATAGGTCTTGCAATTTTTTCAATGAAGAAATGGTCTTTATTAGGAGATCGCATTCCAAAATTATCTTTACCAATGGCTTTGCCTACTGGCCCCTTATTTTTCAGTTCAGCCAAGAGTTTTCTTGAGATCCCATCAGGATTTCCATGTCTCTCCTTTCCCATAGCATGTTTTAATTTCCTTTTTATCTCTGTAAGAGAAAAATGCGAACTAGCTTTCACAGAAGGACCTTTATAATGGACAATATCATGAGAATCTGGCGATGAGGCAAACTTGTTTTCACTTTCAGAATTTTGCATGCTCGTTAGCACAGGTTTCAGAATGACAATTCTATTTGAAAACTCAGTTTTCCCATTTTCATTTGTTGGACATTTTGATTGAGACTTTACCTTTTTCCTGAAAAAGTTAAGATGCTTGCGGTTGACAATCTCCCTAGTTTGTTTCAGATTGCCAGGGTCTTGTTCAGAGAAGTTGGAGCCAGTAACTGAACCATATTCTTTGTCACATGTCCCCTGAACATTCTCCAACTCCTGAATATATTTCAATAAGTGTGAATTTGGGTCTTGTAGAAGTCTAAGAAACAATTCCTTATCTGAGCTTATAACCTGAAGTGCTTCCATGAGTTCATGTGAGCAAAGGAATTTTCTATTCTCTGCCGGATCTTTCCCATTTAATATCATCTGATTCACAAATTCATGGATTGCATCTCTTGCAAGGTTTTCAGAAATAGTGTGCTTTTGGTTTGATTCTGCATAAACTTTGCCATCATTGTCAGGTATCATAGAACAAGCACCTTTCATATGACAAAAATCTTCCATTATCTTGTCCAAATTAAGAGTATCTTTTGACTGTTGCCTTGAATGCTGATTATTTGAGAATTCAGATTTCAAGGTTGCATCCAAATTCAAATCACAGGTGTCCATATCCCGGCTTTTCTTGCGAGATTTTTTTTTTCTTTTGGAATCTGTCTTCCGGGGGTCTTCACCCCCTAATCTGGATTGCTTTGATTCTACTTCAGCATTACCTTGATCCTTTATTTCATCCTGGTCATTGCACATCTCTTCTTCTATAAGTTTCTTCACACTAAGCTTATCAGCATCAGTTGTCACTGTTAGTCTCTTATACTCTCCTCTGTCCTGAAACATAGATGATATAGTAATATCAACAAATGACTAGGCATACTGTTAGCACATAGTGGATAACCAAATGTTAGTTGTGCTCTAGAATTTTGTCAATTTTCATATAACGAAATGTTTGGAAAATGGAAACCGATTAATTCTAGAAAATAATTTTATTTTCAAAAGCTCTGTAAAGAAGCTGCCAAAAAAAATGTTTTTTTTGACAAATAAGCTAATCCAAGCATGCACTAAGTTTCAAACTTCAAATTGGAAGAAAGAAAAAAGTTCAAGATTTGCATAGGGAAGTCTTACAAAATCGCCTTGATATTCTTCATCCAAATTACTCAACATCTCAAACTTGTTCTTAGTAAGTACAGCACCTGTAGAAAAAAAAAATGAAATTCAATGATTATTCTGATTCTTTTTCATGAATACAGCACAGCTGGGTCACAAAATATTCCATACACAAAAAAAGCGTATTATGATGAAAATTTAAAACTCAAAATTTTGTAAAACGTTGATTGATAAGCAGACATCACTCATGGCACCCAGAAAAGATATGTGAAGTAGCACAAATGTATACTCAAAAAATTTTTGCTCCAAATTATTTAGCATAAACACATTTTGTTATATATTCAGCACATAGACACTCCTTTTGGATATATAGATATATGCACGTGAGCCAAGTTGTTAATTTTGGAAGGACAAATTTAGATGTTGAAACATTTCTTACCAACAGCATGCTTGCTGCTGTGCCTCTTATCTGCAATCAACTTCCGAGTAAAGCGACCATGGCGAAAATCAAACATACTAATAAAACCCCACATACAACCTGACTGATCTTTCTCATACTGCGTAGGGAATCTTTGAGACCTCTTTCCCATAATGATTGCCACAGTTGACTTCCTTCTTTCCTCTTTCCCTTCCCTCAGGGTGCTAATAAGGTAATCTTGGCCTTATGCTGCTTATGTTCATACAAAACTCCTCACAGGTATAGTCTTGTGCAACCTGATTGATGGACAAAAACATGAAGTGGACAAATGCAGTTAGAAGTCATGAACACACACATTATAACTCCCTGTTATGCCGCAAAATCATATTCTATGCACAACACCCTAACAACAAGACAAAGATGCACTATATATGTGCAGACCAAACTAATCTTTTCATGCTAACAAGTTTGTTTAAATCAACTCATGCTAGAAACCTAGTCACATGATTGAAGGGTTTAAACTCAGTCACACAGTTCATCATCTGAATCATCAACTCCCCAAGGCACAAAAAGTTGGGTTTCCACCGAAAATGGAAGAAGATTCAATTAAATTAAGTGGTTAGCAATTAAGGCATGTAAGGAAAACTGAAAATTTATAGGAAAATAAGATTGCTTGAACAAGGTACCTCTTATTCAGGACCTTTTTGACTCATCATGCTGAAGGAGTAGAAGGCAAAGATGCAGCTTGATGAGTCCACTCACAAAGCATGTAGGAATTCCAATTTCAGTCCCACAAGTTTCCCAACTGAGTGAAGCTCACGGGGACAATATAAGCTTCCTTTGGAAGAGAAGGTATCAATGCCTTCTTTCTTCATGCACAGGCCTTAGCTAGCTCAAGTTCCACAGAGAAAGAAGAAAATTCCTGTTATCCACTCTTCCCATCAAACAAAAGGTCGATTGAGATAACTAGCCACAGATTCACAGCTCTCTAATTCAGTGAATCACCCCTTTCTTCCAATAGAAAAGAAAAAGGTAAATGATAAAACGTAATGGAAAAGTTTGATAATCACACAAAAAAAGCTTCAGACACACAAAAGCTTGACCCCAACACTGTCAAATCAAAATTCAATAATCAAAAATTCAAGCAGAACTCCTTTAAGTTCTGCACAACAGAATCGATGAATGCAATCAATGGTGCATTTTAGTTCCCCAAGATATTCCTACCCAACTAGGAGTTACAACTCTTATACATCATTCTCACTGAAATTCCACCACAAAGAAGAAAAAAACAAACCAGAGTCTCAGTTTCACTAAATAGCCCCCAGCTCATTTTCACCAATACCCAGATGGTAAAAAAGAAAAAAATGCCTTGGGAAACACTATATTCTCACAGAACAGTGTTTTTGGAAGGTTGAAACTTGCAGCAACTTTTACCAGACAACAGACCCAAAAAGAAAAAGTCAAGACTTTTCCTATTGGGTATCTTTTTGACAGGCAAAAAGAGAAGAAAAATGCAAACTTGCACCGTCCCACGATTGTTTAACACGGAATTTTGATACGGGCAGCCATTAAAGACAGAGAAAAAGTGGCAGAAATAAGGTTAGAGAGAGAGAGAGAGAGATGGTGTTGAAGACAAGGTTAGGATTGTTGGAAAGTGAAAGCTGAGAGAACTTTTACAATGTTGTTGTTGGGATGACAGATGAAGAAGAATACGTGACAGTTGGGACAATATGTGTTTGTGTATATGAGAATCGATAATTCCTAAAATTTCACATAGATAATTTTTTGTCTTTTTTTTTTTTTGGTTAGCATTTTTTGTCTTTTTTTTTTCATATTATAAGCTACGGGGAAGATTATATTTATAATTTATTTTCGTTTATAATTTTTTATAATAATATCTTAATCGTTGATTTTCGTCAATCAACGGTTATCATTTATTGTGAATTAATAATTAATTAATAAATTTGATTTACGAAAATCTTAATCGTTGATTGACGGAAATCAACAGTTAAGATACAGTTATAAGAAGTTATAAATGGAAATAGATCGTAAGTATAATCTTGTCATATAAGTTATATGAAATTTTGTCTTGTATTAAAAATTGTAAATTATAAAGATAAAAGGAGGTTACACGTACTATCTTTTTTTTACTACTTCTTATTATTAAATTTTAACCGTTAATTTATGTCATCTAATGGTTATAATTTATGAGGTCATATTATTAATTAATTATTAATTTCTAATAAATTGTAACTGTTAAATTGACGAAAATCAATAATTAAAATTTGATAGTAAGAGATACTAAGAAAAAATATAACAAATATAAAATTTCAGTAAAAGAGAAATGTTTATATATAAGATAATTTATAAACTTAATTAACAAGTATCCATTCTTGTGGGTCCGCACACAGTTTTTGTATTGTGTTGTGTTGTACTCTTTGGAAGAAAATGTTACTTTGTCACCATTTTCTTTTATTTTTTTTCTCTTTCATATGCTGTTTTTTATTTTATCTTGCAGTCATCACCACACCACTCTAAAATTTGCATATACATACAAAAGTCCTCTATCCTTTGCTGACTTACTCTCTCTAACTCTAAACCTCGCTCTCGTGAAGAGGAGAGAGAAAGTGAGGTGGATTGACGTGTACGCCATTCTCAACCGAAACTGTGAGCTTTAATGCTTTATACTTTTTGGAGAGGGGGCACACTATGATTATCAAAGTAGAACAAGAATATATATATATATATATATATAGAGGTAGGATCCTTTGACACTGGTGTCAAATTTCAATTTTGACACCTCATCTGAGAGTCGTTAGATAAAAAAAGATCAATTGTGTCACATGCTTGCAAATCAGAGTCGTTGATCTTTTTTGATCTAACGGCTCTCAGATGAGGTGTCAAAATTGAAATTTGACACCGGTGTCAAAGGATCCTACCTCATATATATATATATATATATGGAGTAGGATATTCTTATACTGATGTAAGAGTTAGAAGTTTTACACTCAATCTTGACCATTGATCCACTTGTATCTAATGGCTCACATTACAAAAGAATTCGAGCCTTTAGATATAAGTAAAATCAATGGACAAAATTGAGAGTGTAACTTACACTAGTGTAAAATGATCCTGGCCTTATATATGGCGAGAGATCTTTTGACTCTAGAGTAAGATTTACAACTCTTACTTTCCATCTCAACCGTTGATTTCCGTCCATCTAATTGTTATTATTTATTTGAAATAAATAAATAATTAATTGTTATAGATAACCGATAGATGGACGAAAATCAATGGTTGAGATGAAGAGTAAGAGTTGTAAGTCTTACTGTAACATATCGAGCGCTGACGAGGGCGAGGAGTGATCGCCGGTGCAAAGAGGCACAGACAAGGAGCGGCTCCTGACAGGCTTCCAGCGAGGGGTTACATGCATGAATGAATCGAATCGACATCCGAAAGAGAGAGATTCCAAAGGCTGTGCAGGTATAAGGCTGCACAGTTTGGGATAGCTTATAAGAATTAATTGGTACTACCTGTACTAACAAGATGCATCTTCTTTTCTGTAGCCCGGAACGGAAGAACTCCACAGTTAAACGTGCTTGACTTGGAGCAATTCTGGATGGGAGACCTCATGGGAAGTTTTCCTGGGAAGTGTGCGAGTGAGGAAAAAGCACACTGAAAAGTCTCGTGTTAGTATGTGGGGATAGTCGTTGATTCTTGAAGCGGCCGAGCGTTACAAGTGGTATCAGAGCAGGGCCTCTCATCTAGTACGGTGTGGTTCGAGGACGAACCATGCGGAAGCTGTGGGCATGTAACATCCCGAGCGCTGAAGAGGGCGGGGAGTGATCGCCGGTGAAAAGAGGCACGGACAAGGAGCGGGACAGGCTTCCAGCGGGGGGTTACATGCATGAATGAATCGAATCGACACCCGAAAGAGAGGGATTCCAAAGGTTGTGCAGGTATAAGGCTGCACAGTTTGGGATAACTTATAAGAATTAATTGGTACTACCTATACTAACAAGATGCATCTTCTTTTCGGTAGCCCGGAACGGAAGAACTCCACAGTTAAGCGTGCTTGACTTGGAGCAATTCTGGATGGGTGACCTCCTGGGAAGTTTTCCCGGGAAGTGTGTGAGTGAGGAAAAAGCACACTGAAAAGTCTCGTGTTAGTATGTGGGGATAGTCGTTGATTCTTGAAGCGGCCGAGCGTTACACTTACTCTAGAGTCAAAAGATCTCTTCCCTATATATATATATATATATATATATATATATATATATATATATATGGGTTTTATAAGAGTTATGTTACAGGAAAAGTGATTGTGTAATGTTATTCGTTTTGCGTGCCGTAATTTCTTTTTCTTTTTTCTTCAAAAAGTGTGGGCCCCACAAAATGTTGTGTGTGTAGAAAAATTTGTTGTGTCATGTTAAATGACAAATGCAAATCCATATATATATATATATATATATATATATATAGGTATGATCTTTTGACATCAGTGTCAAATTTAAAATTTAACAACTCATCTGAAAGCCGTTAGATCAAAAAAGATCAATGGTATCACATGCTTACAAATCAGAGTCGTTGATTTTTTTTATTTAATGGCTCTGAGATGAGGTGTCAAATTTCAAATTTGACACTAGTGTCAAAGGATCCTACCTCGTATATATATATATATATGAGTTTCGATTTTCTCATGCGGTAGGAGAAATTTTTTTCATGTTATAGTCACATTTTATGTGAGGCCCATATTTATTAAAAAAGTAAAAGAAAATATTGCACGAAAATTGAAGGGTCACTAGTAGGAGAAAACAACTCTCCTATGACATGAGAAAATGTTTTCCCTATATATATATATATAAAAATAAATTATTTGACTCCAGAATAAGATTTATAAGTCTTATTCCTCATCTCAGCCATTGATTTCTGTCTATCCAATGGTTATAATTTAGGAAGTCATATTAATTAATTAATTATTAATTACATTACAAATGACAACCGTTGATTTCCGTCCTGAAGTCAAAAGAACCCTCCCCTGTGTGTGTTGCACGCAGTATCCTTTGATATTAGAGTAAAACTTAAAATTTTGACATTAAATCTTAATTGTTGATTTTCGTCAATCGACGGTTATTATTTATTGGAAATTAAATTTATTAATTAATTATTAGTTTTCAATAAATAATATATATATATATATATATATATATATATATATATATATATATATATATATATATATATATATTGGCATGATCCTTTGATATCGGAGTAAAACTTAAAAATTTGACCCAAAATCCTAATCGTTTATTTCGGTTAATCGACGGTTATTATTTATTGGGAATTAAACTTATTAATTAATTGTTAATTTTCAATAAATAATAATTATTGATTGGCAGAAATCAATTGTTAGGTTTTGGTGTCTATTTTAAAGTTTGACACCGGCATCAAAGAATCCTGGTAATCAAAGTTTGATTGGCATAAATCAATGATTCACTTTTCTACCGTCAATGTAGATAAATTATCTATATTGAGCCCAAAATAATGTCGTTTTGGACTATTTGTTGTAGAAACATTAAAATCATATTATATTTACAAAAAAATCATATTACTTTTATGATAATTGGTTCAAAATCAAATCAATGTTACAAAATATGTAAATTCTATCAAATCAAATCAATTTTGAAGAGAATAAAAGAATGCATTACACTTGTAAATTCTATCTTTCTATGAAAAGGTGCGTAATGGAGGTTTAATTGACTAAGCCACTTGACCATAATGTGTTTTTTTTTTTAATGACCATGATACTTTTTACCCAATAACTTTCGTCCTCATTATGATGATGATAATAGTAATGAAATTTTGAATTTTGAATTTTTCACGTGATGACAAAGCATTAAAGTAAAATTTAATAGAGTGATGAGATTATATTGAAACTAAATTAATTTTAAATATAGTCCAAAAAAATTGCATGTTTGAAAGAAAATAAAAGAATGCCTACACTTATCCTTCTATTAAAAAAAGAATGCATAATTGAGGTTTAATTGACTAAGCCACTTTTTTTTTCGAAGTGCACTGCTAAGCCACTTGACCATAATGCTTTTTACCCAATAACTTTCGTCTTCATTATTATGATGATAATGATGAAGTTTTGAATTTTGAATTTTTCGCATCACACTTCAAAAGCT